GTTGAATGAATGAATTGATTCATGTGGGTGCTGTGGATAAAATGAAGGTTCCTGTGGCCAGGATTCTCACCTGGCCCTAGTTGGTTAGCTCACTACACATGTGTGGGCAGTAAGTTGCTATTGACTCTATATAAAGAGCTCCACCCAGTGCTCTGGGTGACATGGTGGCATGGCTACAAGGCTGCAGAGCAGAGGCTGGAGGGGTGGCAGAGCTGAGGACAGAGGTCCAGAGGACGACTGTGCAGATGGCTGTGTGGGCAGAGAGGCCCAGAGGCAGAGACTGGCTTGCTGCATGTAGACTCGCTCTGAGTGAACAGGATTTTAGTGATTGACATGCCACTATGGAAATAAAGTTGGGTATAACCCTTTTACCCCAAGAACGTTCTATTGTCGTTTCTTTGGTCACACTGAATCCATAGTGAATTTGCCTGGGGCTGAAACCCATTGATAAGACAGGTGCTTATGTACATTTCATGAAAAGCCCATTAATATCCAAAGTAGTTGAAATTCCACAGCACGCAAAGCTGTATACCCTACCTTTATAGGCTCCTGAGAAGAAATATTAGTAGCTTAAAGCTCACATTCTTTATGCCTTTCATGTTTGGATAGCTTTTTCATTTCATAAGTGTCATATGATTGTACTAGAAAATTAAGAAAGAGAAGACAAATATTATGGGGATTTGCAAAGTTTCTGGCTTGTGAGACTCAGTCGTCAGAAAAGGAAGCCCCTCTTTGGGTCTGCTCAGGCTCTGAGCAGGACTGAAGCTCACAGAAATGGTATCCCATACCTGTGGGGCCCTGGGTGAGATAGTAATTGGTCCCTGAAAGGCCAGTGGTGATATAGTACTTAGTTCCTGAGAGGCATGGGTGAGTTAGTAGTTGGTCCCTGAGAGGTTCATGGTGATATAGTACTTAGTCGCTGTCTTGCCAATGGGTTTCAGCCCCGGGCAAGTTTGCTATGGATTCAATGTGACCAAAGAAATTGACAGCAAAACGTTCTTGGGGTGAAAGGGTTATACCCAACTTTATTTCCAGGTGGCAGCTCAGTCACTAAAATCCCGTTCACTCAGAGCGAGTCTGCATGCAGCAAGACAGTCTCTGCCTCTGGGCCCCTCTGTCTGCACAGCCATCCCACACAGCTGTCCTCCAGGCCTCTGTCCTTGGCACTGCCACCACTCCAGCCTCTGCTCTGCTCTCCTGCAGCCTTGCAGCCCTGCCACCGTGTCGTGCCCAGAGCACTGGGCGGAGCTCTTTTTATAGAGTCAACAGCCATGTATTGCCTCCAGGTGTGTAGTGAGCCAGTCAACCAGGGCCAGGTGAGAATCCTGGCCACAGGAACTCTCATTTTATTCACAGTCGCTGAAAGTCCCTGAGTAAGATAGTACTTTGATGAGTTAATACCTGGTCCCTGGGAAACCGGGGGTGAGAAAGCGGTTGTTCCCTTAGAGGCCCAGGGTGAGAATGTAACCTTGTCCCTTAGGGGCCCTGAGTTAGATGGTACCTGGCCCCTTAGGGACTCTGTGTAAGATGGTATCTGGTCCCTTAGGGGCCCCGGGTGAGTTGGTACCTGGTCCATGAGAGGTCCTGGGTGAGATGGGAGCTTGTCTCTGAGAGGAGTTCCCCTGGGTCAGCTATCTGCTAGTCCAATAGAGGCCCATGGTGGGATAGTACCTAGTTTCTGATAGGCAAGGTAGGGTGGGTAAAATCCTAACATCCGCTTGTAAGAACTGGGATCTTTAGCAATAGGTGTAGCTAACCTTGTGAGTGTTGTGTGCTCTCCCAGGGTCAGTCACCCAGGTGTGCTTACTACAACCAGCTAATGAGGCACAGGTGAGGAAAGTGTGATAACAGGAGCTTCAGATTACACAGCTAGCTAGGATCCACCCAGGCGGCCTGGCTGGAGTTCACACAGTGTTCACAGAGTTACTAACTCCCAGAAGGAACCCAGACCAGGACTCAGGCTTGGAGATGGAGCTGGAAAGGCCCCAGGGAGAGAATTGAGGCAAAGAAGTACAAGTGCCAGGACATGGTTTGGAATGGAGCAGTTGCGCCCTCTGCAGGTGGTGTGGGTCATGGGCACACAGCAGTGCGTTTGTTCTCAGAGATCCTCTCCAAGGGAGCAGCAGGTTTGAATTCATCTTACTTTCTTGCCAATGGGTTTCAGCCCCAGGCAAGTTCACTATGGATCCAGTGTGACCAAAGAAATAACAGTAGAACGTTCTAGGGGTGAAAGGGTTATACCCAACTTTATTCCCACGGTGGCAGGTCAATCACTAGAATCTCGTCCACTCAGAGCGAGTCTACATGCAGCAAGCTGGTTTCTGCCTTTGGGCGTCTCTGCCCACACAGCCATCCTCTGGGCACAGCCGTCCCAGTCTCAGTCCTTGGTGCTGCCACCACTCCAGCCTCTCTGCTCTGCTCTCCTGCAACCTTGCAGCTGTGCCACTGCGTCACCCAGAGTACTGGGCAGAGCTCTTTATATAGAGTCAATAGCAACATATTGACCACACATGTGTAGTGAGCCAGCCAACCAGGGCCAGGTGAGAATCCTAGCCACAGGAACTTCCATTTTATCCATATTACCCTAGACTCTAGTCCATCTAACTTTAAGTCCTGGTCCTAGGCTAGTTCTAACCCTAGTCTGTGCCATGTTTACAGAATCCAGAACACCTGTGCTGAGCAGGCACCAAGTACCACAGTCAGAGCTCAGTTGTCTGTGTTTAAAATAACATCCCAGGTGACTCTTAGGCAAATAAATGCCCCACAGAATTTAAATAGGAGATTCTTGACAATCAACACCTTTGAGAGTTAAAGGTGCAAAATTCTAAGATGGGATTTCAGACTGAAGCTGGACAACGGGAAATATTTGAGGACACAGGACAAACTATAGAGCTTCCCTTCAGTCACAATCTGTGGATAACTGCAGGTACTTACTGTTAAGCTCTGCAGGGTTGGGATCCCACTTCATTTGATGTTCTGAGAGGGGGTAGGCAGCGGGTAGAGGCACCTAAATTGGAGCGTCCTGTTATCTGGCTCCCTCTTTTCCCCCTTTCCTTTTCCCTGTCCCTCTCATCTGTTCCTCCCCTCCCTACACATTTGTGGTGAAGCCTTTAGGTCTTGATTCCCCACAAGAGTGACACTGTCCCACCCTGGGCATTGCTGAATCCTTAACAGAGGTGACAGGTGGTGAAATAGAGAGACCATTGTCTGTTAACCAGTCTGAGTGTGTTAGCAGGATCCACACAATTACCCTACCATAGAAAAGAATGGGTTCCTACATAAAGGGCTGTGCTTGAATTAATTTACTCATTTGATTGTTGTTATTTTCTCAGACATTGTATGAGATATGTATGTACATATATTGTATTAAGATGATAATTACATTATTATCTTATCAGGGAGGGACAAGGGCATTTTACTCTCACCATCTCTAGGGTGTAGTCTGGATTCCTGTCCCCAGGGGTTGGGAATCCTGTGCTCTACGGTAGAGAATTAAATGGTTTTTACTCTCAAAAGATTAGGCCCATGTCTCTCAAATCTGACCTCTGCATGGGTTTTCTTTGGTCCACACTGTTTTAAATGGAATCAATGGCCATATTTAAATGCATGGGTTATCATGAGAATCTAGGTTTCAGGTTTCTTTGGAAAAGTCTGGCAATATGGGGCTGGCATCTTTCAAGAAAATAATTGGCTAAGGTTGAACAGAGACCTAATATCTCTGATGTGTTACAGCCCCATCACTCCTTATTGGTCCTGGCTACTGTTTATCACCTTCTTCCTGATCTGCTTTAAACTTATATTGCTTGCATCTCCAATATGCTTTCTTCCATCTTCTCACCTGGAAGAAAAAGTTTGCCAAGGATCAGGACGATAGGTGGTGGTGTGGCTCTGTGAGTCTTGGGGACCTCTGACCCTCTGCACTGATCAAGAGGGGACAGGTCTTCTGAAAGTGCATGGGCGTGTGCACATCCCGGAAACCCTGGCAGGGCTGGGCTCAGAGGGACAGACTGCTCAAGTCTGTGGAGCTGCCCCATCTGAATGGGGCACATGGGCTTGCACAGGATGGATGGCAGAGACGCTTCCTCTGTTTTCCTGAGTTGCTAAACTCTTGATTATTTTAGGGAAGACCACAAAGGAGAGGATAGGTGAAGGTCCTGGAAAATGACACAGGGGATTGGAGTTTAGCTGCAGGTAGCTTCAATTAGAAAAAGGAAGAGATGCTATGTTGTACATGAGTGTTGTCCCATACGGTTAGGTAATACAAAGTAGTCAGTTGCTTCTTGTGTGATGGATAGGAATTTGCCTTATAAAACACTCATAATACTTTTCCCAATGATCTGGTCACCAAATTCCTTCCTTCATTCCTTTATCTATTCATGTATCTGTTCATCAGATACTGGAGAACCCACTCTGGTCACGGTGTGGAGGTGTATGAGAGTGAACAAGGGAGCAGTCCCAAGCTCTTCTAATTCTCAGTGGTGATGTAGGTGAGGGATAGGGAACTGGAGAGGGAAGGACATTACTTTGGAGCAAGAAGTTTGGGGCCTTAGTTCTATTACTATCCTTCAGATGCTGGGCACCTTTGGGCCAGCTGCTTAACCTTTCTGGGCTTCACTGCCATTTCTAAAAGAAGGCTAATCTTTAATTTCTTATTAACTTCCAAAAACTTCACTGAAGAAGAGACGTACACATCTGTACAGAAATGCAGATTTCCTTGTTGTGAAGCTATAGCTAGTTTCTTTATTAGGCTTTGACTTTTCTTCATGTATTTGATTTCCAGAAATGAAAGTAGAAATACATTTCATTTTGCTCTGATGTATTTACTCACTACAATTTCATAGATAAGGAATACATGAAAACGTTTTTGCAGCTTCAGCTGTTGGAAGAGGAGGCCAGTGCCATTCTGTTAAAAGCAGTTTCCTGTTTCTGAGTTTTTGATTTACTGTGGAAACCCAAAGGCGATGAAAGCCTCAAAGAAGACGAGACTTGCAAGAATGCTCTGCAGTTGGGGTAATGGGTTTATTATATCTATATATAAGTAAGCATTTATTGGTAGTTTGTCAAAAATAAAGGACAAGGTAACAAAAACGACTTTAGCATGAAAACAAGATAGCTGCAATAGACCAACACAGGGCTTAAAAGATTCTCAAAAGAACACAGCACCTGAAAGGACAGTTTTCAGGTTGTATAGTTAGTTATCCAGACAATAAAGTCAACTATCCAATGCAGGCAGCACGCATGATGAATGGAGCAGCAGCCACGAGGCAGTCTGTCACCGGGGTGCAGAGGGGGGCTTGCCGGGGCCGGGGGTCACTGAAGGGAGAGGGCATTAAAATCGCATAAATCCCCCATATCTTTTCTCCATTTCGGGAACTTCTTTGGAGTAACTTTCACCTTCCTCGTCGGAGGGCAGGGAATCAGCAAAGCGCTTCAGGAAGCCGCCGTACCGTTTCTGGTAGTCCATCCACCACTCTGGGCGGCCCACCCTTCTCATGAAGCCCCCGTAGCGCTTCTGCAGCTCTTTGGCTTCATCCTCCAGTTGGGGGCTTCTCTTGAAGCCTCTCATGAAACCCCCATACCTCTTGCTCACCTCTACGTCGTCGCCGCCCTCTGGGTGGTGGCCGCTCTCGCGGTGCTCCCCTGCCCCCAGCAGCTCCTTCAGCAGGTCTGAGGAATTGGCCATGCTGTCGTCTTCCTCTGCGTCCTTCTTCATAAATCCCCCGTATCTCTTGGCGAGGATCTCCCCTCCATTTGCCTCTTCTGGCTCTAGAGGGTAAAGCTCATCCATTTTCTTCATGAAGCCTCCATACCTTTTCATGAAGCCCCCATACTTCTTGGCTAGCAAATGGCCCTCCTCCTGCTTGCTGCCTTCTCGGAGGGCGTTGGTGCCCTCTTGAGGAAGCCCTACTTTGGACAGCTGCAGGAGCTCCTTGCAGGCTTCCCAGGTCTTGAGAGAGGGGAATTTTCCTTCACATTCCAGTGTGCAAGCCTGGGAAAAGAATTCCATTTAATGATAAGAATAATAAAAAAAGGCTTTTCTGATTTCACTAAGTAAACACATTTTTGTGGACCACAACATGCTAGCTTTGGTGAGGACACTCCCATTTAATAAAGTAATCTCCACTTTCGTATTACAAGTTTTTTGTCATTCAGAACAGGCAAACCAGAGGAAAACTGAAAGGGGCAATTGTGGAGAATTAATTGAATCAAATTAGAATTTTTCTCTGAATTTTCACAGTCTGTGTATATATACACTCTACCATTTCAATACAGTGGAAGGTTTTTTTCCACCTGATTTTAACCTAGATTGGCTGCCTGCATGATCTAATTTCACTGGATAATTTTCCCCTGTTGATTTAATTTTGTTTGAACTTTTTCTAACCAAAAGGGAGAAATTCTTTACTGAATCAGAGACATTTCTCCAAATTCCTTTTATTTTCTTGTCTTAGAGAGAGATAATATCAATATTAATAATATAAGATTTGTTTACTTTCTTGTGTTAATATTTTACCTGGAATGATATTCAAAATTCTTGCAAACATTTTCAGTCTTTAAAGAAAAACAACAATTTCAAAATAAGTTTGAAAAGAAACACATTATAAAAACCCAATTTAAATCCTTTGAGTTATTTGAATTATGACATATTGATTTACTGAAAGTGGAGAGATTTTTCTGTTTTCACCCTTTTGATTGATTAAACAGATTTAATAATTTTGAACCAAATGTTTATAATGATGAGGTCTGATATGAAATTATACATGTTTGAATGTTCAAATTATTAATGTTTCTTTTCTTAAAATTTAGTAGTGTACAGAAAGTATTTTCCAATGGCAATCACATAGAAATTTTCCATATACAATTCCTACCTTTTTATTTACAATAATTCTAATCATTGTAAGATTTAAGCTATATGTTCTAAAAATCTTGTGAAGTTTCTCTTCTATTCAATGGATCACTTGAGTATGAAAAAAAGAGGACTAATATTACCTGTGTTTAGAAAATCCCTATGACATTTCTAAGCATTTCAGCATTTTTTCTAGTCCTCTGAGGTCTACTTACTTAACCCAGGTTACTGACCCTTGATTTAGAAAACCCCCCCCTTGAAATTAAAAAATATATTGGTATATTCATTGGTATAAAATACACACAAATTATTTTCACAATGGAATGAAGTATCTTATTAGTGCAACAAAATTCTCTAGGGGTACATATTTAAGTAGCTCCTAATGATTATTTGAGCTTTGTGTCTAAGAAAATTAAATATATGTATACATAAAAATCTAAAATGATCTAATTAAAGTGATCCTGTTTTATTCCTGATATCTAGTCAAGAAATCAAAATATCATTAAAAACTTAAGATGTTCAGGTGTCAATAACATTCCCATTATAATATGAAATTTGAATGATCTTTTTGTCAAAAATTAAAGTTGCATTTTTTGTATACTATTATCAAAAGGCTTTTTAATGTTGGGATTCCTTAAAAGAAAAAAGACAAATAATCAGAATAATACATTCACACAAAAGAAATTATGCTAATTTATATGCTCCTTCATATATCTATGCATTTTTTTAGTATTTATCACACTCTTTCCTATGGTCAAGATCATATTAGATGATAATTCAATTTGGACATTAGTTATGGTATACCTGCTTATCTTTGTATCTGCCAGAGAACCAAGCACAAATGTCTTTCACAGGATAGACCCTCAATAAATACATGTTAATGTTGATTTTACCACCTAGTTTTGGTAGGCAACCTCATTTTTCATGTCTTTTCCCTCTTAGCTTAAATTCCAGAACTGTTGTATTCTAACAACATAGTAATTAACAAGGCCTTTGCTACAGAAAAAATAGCAACCCTGAATGTAATCCCCAATACAAAATAAATCAGTTAAACCAAAAGCAAATCCAAAAAAAATTGTTAACCCCTAATTAAGATGCAACATTTTTCTCATTTTAATTTATATTTTAATATAAAGCTCTAATATGTGTCTTCCCTTTAAGACAATGTTAGCACATGCACATATGAAATGAACTGGATCAGGTAATTCAAATGAAACAAACCAATATTTAACCTGAAATATATGCCTTGGATTTTGTGGAATCCTTTCCTTAATTTTCACTTCTATTTCATGCATCTAACTAACAAAAATTCTTCAAAGGTTCAAGTGAGGATTAACTCCTTGCATTAACACATTATTCTCTACTGAGCTTTTAAAATTATCACCAAATTTCAACACATTGAGAAGATAGGGTCAAAGAATCACTTGGGGAACTAGTTGAAATGAAGCTTCCTGGGTCCAAACTCAGAGATTGATTCAGTAGAGCACTGGGGGTGATTCAGAAGCACATGGACTATGATTAGAACGAGAGTTCTTTTGTCCTCATCATTTTTTCCACTAAGCCCCTGGCTTGTAGGTTATCTTTGCATTGTTGCCACCTCTTTGGACCCCGGTCACCTCTCCTGTGCCTTTTCCTTAGCTAGATTAAACTGATGGCTTAGTAGGTATCATAAAAGTACATTCAAGACAAGATAGAACTTGAATGCCAGCATCCCTTGCCTGTGATACAGTTGCTCACCTCTGTCTCCTGTCCACCACTGTGTGTCCCCTTGGCTTCTCTTGGCCCTTCCCCATCCCTTTGCTCTTTTCTATGGACAGGTGAGGGGAAGGGCCTGAGGGACCTGAGGTTAAAAGGGCTAGAGAAATGACATCTGAAGAATGGTGATGAAATATCACTAGTACAAAATAACAGCATTATTTGCGGGAAGATGGGAGGAGGGTTGTGTGTGGAAGGAGCCTTGTTGGTGTATATTAGGAGCTGGGTGACAGCACCTTTCTTAGGACAGCTGAGGCGACAACCCAGTGCTCCCCAGGATGCTAAAGAGCACATCTCGGGGCTCTCTCATCCTCAGGGTTAAAACAAACTTGATTTGTGTGGAGACATCGCCGCCCTTACCAGTGTCTGGATAGTCGGAGGTCCCTGAGGCTGAGAGCTAGGGCGGGACCTTGTCAGCGTTCGGGGGAACAATCAGGACACCTGCGTCACCAGGGGCGCGTGCCGCGGCGGCGCGGCCCGAATGTGACCAGGGCACGCGGGGTGCGGCGGTGGGCCCTGTCTGCGGGCGGTGGCCGCCACCAGCTCTCCTGCCGCGCGTCACACTCACCAGGGGGTTGATGTCGGTTGGGCGCGCCAGGCGGTAGCTGCACGTCGCGCAGTCCTGGCTGCATTCCGCCTGCACGGTCGCCAGGAGCCCGGGGACGAGCGCCAGCACCCAAGTGCAGAGTCTCAGCAACCGCGCCATGGGCTGCGGGGAGAGAGGGGCTCAAACTCCTAGCCCGTCCCGGGGGAAAGCGGGTCCGTCGGAGGGACCCCTGGCTAGGACAAGCCCCGCTGGGGGATTGCCGACCAAGAGCCCTTCCTGGGCTCCCGGCCAGCGGCCGACGCTGTTCCCAGAGGCCCAGGGGAAAACTCAGATCGCCTCGCGCTTCCCAGGTTGGCACTGTCGCCTCGAGCCCGGAGCTGCACGGGGTCCTGGCTCCCTTTCTGGATGGCTGCTCCCAGGGCAGGATTCTGGAGGGACCACCCAATAACGCATGAGAGAGAGCGGGAGTCTGGGGAGCTGCAACATTGTCCTGGCTCCCAAACGGGGACAGGAAGAAAGTTGGGGAACCCCATGCAATGAAACGCAGAATAAAGTAGAGCAGTCAGATGGCCCCAAACGCACGCAGCAAAGACGAGCTTTGGGTAATTTCACTCACGCTGACGCTGTTCGGCTGGCGCGGACTGGTGTGAGAAAGCGGGTCTCAGGAGCGACACTAGAAGGAAGAGGAGGAGAAGGCAGGTGTGAGCAGGACGGGCGTCGGGGAGAAGCGGCCGCGGGCCGCGGGCGGGTGCCGGCCTCACCGTCGCGGTTCTCAGCGTCGCCGGGGGGCCGGGGACTGGACCGCAGGGNTGTGAGCAGGACGGGCGTCGGGGAGAAGCGGCCGCGGGCCGCGGGCGGGTGCCGGCCTCACCGTCGCGGTTCTCAGCGTCGCCGGGGGGCCGGGGACTGGACCGCAGGGCTACGAGCGCCTGCCTGGCCTTGCCTCGCTGTACCGGGGCTGGCAGCTACTGGAGCCACTTTATAATTAGCCCCAAACCCAAGGAGGCGAGTGCGCCCCAATCGCCGGCGGGCTGCAGCTGACGCAGGCCCTACGCCAGCCCCGCGCCGCCGCCTCCGCGGGAGGGTCGGTCCCGGCCGCCGCCCGCGCGGCTCCTCGTCCCCTGGGGGGCGGGGGGGGGGGGACGCTTGGTGGCTCACTGCACGGCCGGGTGACAAACCAAGGCACTTGGGATATTTGGGGAGAGTGGGATGAGATCAAGTTCCCCTGCGCAAGGTCGCGGAAATCGCACTCCCTGGGGTGCGGGCTCCAGGGAGGAGCCAAGGTGGAGGCGCTAGGAGGGGCAGGTGGATGTTCTTAGACCTCCGGAATGCGGGGGAGACCCTGCTCCTTCTTTGCCTCCTCGCGGGTGCCCCGCGGTCGCGGTGGGCACCAAGCGCAGCTGTCCCGAATGTCATTTACCCACTCGTTTGCCCCGGCACGGGACTCCGGTTTCTTTGCCTCTTCGCCATTAGGCTCACAGTAGGCACTTAATTAATGGTTAAAGAAACGAATATTTGAAACTTTTCGGGAATCTTAACATCTCTGGACTGAGTTTTCCCCTTTCGTGTTAGGGAGACCCTTTGCCAGGCGTGGAAGCAGGTAAAACCGAAGCTTCTGGAACGACGTTTCCCTGGGGACCGCACATCGTTCAGCCGCCATGGGAGGGGACTTTTCTTCAGCCAGCAACCAGGCAGGCTTTCAAGTCGGGGACCCACGGCCTCAGGCGCTCTGCCCAGGGTGTCCTGAGGGTGTTTGACAGCACCTGTCAGCGCACCAGGACTGTAGAGGGAAGGAGCCATAAGGGACTCGGGACCTAGAAAGTCTGAAACTTGGGGCGCGCGCGGCCTCTTGGCAGGGAAGGGGCCGGGAGCCAACGGAAGAGGCTAGGATTGAGATCCAGTTCTACGGAAAGATTGCCAAGAGGAAGTTATTTACTTTGTCTATGGCCTTAGTTTTCCCATTTGGAAAATAACGGACAGAGGTAATTCATAGGGCTCCCGAGAAACGAAAATGAAATAATGGTCGAAAGATTTAGCTTTATACCTGGCACAGATAAAGCCCTAAAAAACCTGTTTCTAATCATTTGTCATCCATCTTCTACCTCTGGTTTGTCTAGCACTATCATACATCTACTATTTATTGATACATCCATCTACGTCTGTCCTCTCTCTTCTGGCCCTAGAGGGAAAGCACAAACAGTCTCAGAACCCATAAATAGAGAAAGCATCTCTGGGTTTCCTGACCATAGGCCCCATCCGCAGAGGACAGGCCATCACTTCAACCTTCGCGGGGACCCAACAGCCGCAGGGCTCCCGCAAGCTCGGGCCCCGCTGCATCTTGCATTTGGTCGCTAGAGGGCAGCGCTCTCCTGCGTAGGTTTGGCGGGTGCAGGACTGGTCTCCCTCCATCGGTTCCCTCCGCCCGCCCGCCCGCGTGGCCGCGTAGCTGCACTGGCGCACGCCTGCCTTCCCGGGGCCGCGGAAGCGGAGCGCTGGGGTGCGGCGGCAGGACGCCCGGCAGAGCCCTAAGAAACCAGCATCGACGCCTTGCCACAAAAACTCAACGTCTCTCCCTTTTGACAATTTAGGCTCTTAACTTGGGGGCTGCTTACCCTCTTCCCAGCGGAAAGGAAAGGTGAGCTTACATGTGTAAATGCGATTTCCCCTTGTGGCCCGGGCTTTGTTGAAAGGCAGCCAGCTGCACTGCAGCCCTCTGCAAAGAAATGCATGAACAAATCCTGCCCGCAACGAAGAAAATTTGCTGTTTCTGAGCACTGGCATAACCGGGATCACTGGAGAACTTTAAACACATCAGAGGCAAAAGCCTGGGCCGTGTGTGTGTGTGTGTGTAGTGACTGCTAGACATAGTCCTCTCTTAGGGTACACAGTGGTGGACACAGAAAGTCTCCTTTAATTGTTGGTCAGGTAGAAGCTTAAGGCGGAAATGGGCCTTGGGGATAATTTATTCCAACTTTCACTCGATGATGGGAAAAAACAAGGCTCAAAGCATCCAAGTGACATCTAGATGACTGGCCCAGACAGTGGCAGAACCAGGTTTCCCCACACTCTCTAGAGACACCTCCTCTCGCACCTACCTCAGGCCTGGTTTGTTTCTGTTGGAACAATTAATGTCTGCTCTGAGTTTCTCGGTGAATCTGCATCTTTCTATGGCTTTTGAAATGTCAGGGGAGAGAGAAGGGAAAGAGCAGGTTGTCCCCTAGGGGTAGTGCACAGGTAGTGGGTGCTCCAGGGCCCACCTGGATACTCCCACATAGTAGGTGCTGACTAGATATGTGTTGATTGACAGCGGGAAGGAATGAAGGGGCAGGGGGTTGGTCTTGTTTACATACCCTAGTGTCCACCTCTTCCCATCACCCTGCCCTGTCTGCCCTGGAGGCTGAAGGACACACCTTTTTAAATTCATTTCTTTCTATTTGAAAGGTGGCAGTAGTTTGCAAGGAATTGATCTTTTCATGATCCTGTAAATATTTATCAAGAACAAATAGGTTTTGCTATTACCTTCTGGAAAAAAGCTGCTCTAGAAACCAGACTCATAAAAGGGAGGTGAATCTTTCCTAATAACATTTTGTCCAGAAAATTCTGATTCCAAGCTTGGGATGAAGACCTCGCTGCCTTCTCATCAGAGAATCCCAAACACTAGAAAGAAGGGATTAATTCTGAGACAAAGAAATATGACTTTTAAAGTCCTGATGATAAATGACACTTTATTCAGTTCTTAGGTGTTCTGGAAGCCTGTAGGAGGGATTTTAAAAGTCCTTTCAGTTTCCCCTTCCATAGTTTCCAAGATGCCTGTGTTGAATGATGTCTTTCAGGTGCCGATTCCTCTCCTCCCCTATCTTTCCTTCCACCCAAATATACACGCTTTACTATGGAACCTGTTTTCTCTCTGTCCCTCTCTCCCTAAAATAGCAGTAGTGGGAACACAGCAGTTCAGCACTCTGGGGACTGTGTAGTGTTTCAGCATAAAAGCACCATGTTCTAACATTTCAGGTGTTTGGAGTTATGCCAGAAGCAGGGCAAAATTGCCTGTTTTCAGCTGTAAGCAAAAAGATACAATTGCAAGATAGAATTCTGTGAGCTGGGCTGGTTAGTGTGAAATATCACTGTTCAGGGACTCTTCCCCCTGGCTCACAACACTAGCGCTGAGAGACTGTAAGTGGAATTGGTCGAAAGAGATGTTTTTATGATGTGATAAATCCCCTTTTCAAGGAGCAAAAGTGCTAGTGCATTCCCACTCTCAAAAATCCAGGAAACAAAATAAACCCCTTACAAGAAAAAAATAGCATGGTACAAAGTTGCCAAAAAGTGACTTTAAATGATAGAAAATGTGTCAGAGGAAGACAGACTGGGAGGGCACAACAACACAAACAACACTAAACATATCAAACATAGTGTTTCTATACTGACAACTTGGAATTGAAATCAGGTTCTTAAATTTGACCTTCCACTCTCAGACAGGAAAAAACAAATTTTAGTATTACGTATAGATAATTAAACCATGAACAAAAAAAGTTATATTATGACTCATTAGATTAAAAGAAGATGTAGCTGTGGATCCAACCAATATATGGATTCTGGAGCAGCTTGACTTTTAAAAATGACTTTTGGAGTTGCCTTAAAGAAATTGAATAGCCACACCAGAGAACCAGTTATGTTAAAAACTTTGTTGCCTCTTTAGACCTCAACCTTATTTAATAACTTGAATTTGATTGTTTTTTATTGTTTCCAAAAATCTTCTAGATCCCACCTGCAGGACCTGCAGACAAGGTGAAAATAGTAATTGAGAGACCAAATGAAAACATCCACCAAGAAACTCTTTCCACAATTGAGGAAATGCTAGCAGAGAAGTTCTAAACAGGTTTTGAGCAACAGTAAATCACTGAAATTAATGCAAGGGTTCCAGTATACCAGCTGCTTGAGGGAAGTCCTCTGCATTAGATCCACAGCACAGAGCTGTACACATAATGGATACTAAGTAGTTTTTAAAAAGACTTCAGGATGACACAATAATTCATTAATTAATGGACATTCACTGGGGCAAATTCTCCTGGCTTCTTGCTGTAGGACCTCCAAAAGTGTGGGCTTCTTCCCCTTCTGCTGTCTGGGATTTCGCCTGTGACATCCTCCTATGCACCTAGGAAGCCTGCCTCATTGGCTGTTCCTTTCTCTCTTGTATTGTTAGTCTTGGCTTCTCTGTTGTTCTTAGTCCTCACGTACCCATATAAGCATTGAAACTTGTGTGGTTTTCTCTTATGTTTAGAAAGAGCACTTTCTTAAATCTGTACCAGTTCTTCTCCCTGCCCAACTCCTATCCTAACTTAACCTTCACCACTGAGATTGTTGAGGAACAGTCCAACTTCTTTGTTGGTCCTTTTTCATCTCCTACGAAATCTTTATTCCACTGCCATCTTGCTTTTGTTTTTACAGCTCCAGTGAAACCCTACTTGTTAAAGTCAGCAATGACCTTTTAGATGAAAATCCAAGAAACTGTTTTTAGTTAATATTATTTGTTATACCTGCAGTTTGGGACATCGTCATCCATGCCTCTTTCTAGGAATTCTCCCTGCTAACTTTTCCTCTGACCTTTTTTGGTTGTTCCTTCTTACTCTATCTCCTGGGCTTTTCTTTCTCCCTCTGACCCTTAAATGGTGTGATGTTCCCTATGCTTTCTTCCTGTGCCACATCTCATCTCAAGTTACACGTTCTGGCTGGGAGGATGTCTCCCCTCCAGGACTTGACTTCTCATGTATTCCCCAGTCTCTAGATTCAGTTCAGGCTCCTCCTCTGTTTACATGGGCATATCTCCATGTGCATGTGCTGCAGGCACTCCAAACTTATCATCTGTTCAACTATTTAATCATCTCTTCTTCAGATCTGCCCTTGCTCCTGTATTCATTCTCAGTGAATGGCAGACATCTGGAAATAATTCATTTTTAATTTTAAATTTAGTCATTCTAATGGGTGTGTAATGACATCTTGTAATTTTAATTTGTATTTCACTGATGACTGATGATGTTGAGGTTCTTTTCATGTGTTTTTTGTCATTCATATCTTTTGTGATGTGTCAATTCAAATTATTTTGCTTGCTTTTTTTGGGTGGTTTATTTTTTTTATGACTGAGTTGTCAGAGCTCTTTATATATTCTGGCTACAAGTCCTTTATTATAAATATGTATTGTGAATATTTTCTTACAGTGTCTGGCTAGCCTTTTGATTTTCTTAGCCATGTCTTTTGAAGAGCCAAATACTTGTGTCTTCTCTAAGAAATCTTTTCTTACCCCAAGGTTATGAGGACATGCTCCTATTTTCTTCTAGAATCTTATAGTTTGGGTTATTATATTTAGGTCTTGATAAATATCAAGTTAACATTTGTGTCTGTGATAAGGGTCAAAGTTGTTTTATTTTTTTCCAAAGTGAATATCCAGTGTATCAGCACTATTTATGGAAAAGACTATTATTTTTCCCATTGAATTATCTTGGCAACTTGGTCAAAAATCAAGTGACCATATATATGTGGATCTATCTCTAAATTCTCTGTTCTATTTTTGTTCCCATGATCTATGTCTATATGCTAACCTTCCACACACTATCTTGATTACCTTAGCTTTATGTTAAATCTGTAAATCCTCCAAGTTTGTTATTCTTTTTGTAATTGTTTTAGCCATTATAGGTTGCCTACATTTCCATATACATTTTAGAATTGGTTCATCATTTCTACAAAAAGTCCTGCTGGGATTTTTATTGGACTGAATTAAATGTGTAGATCAGTTTTGGGAGAATTGACATCTTAACAACTGTGTCCCCCAATCCATGAGGCACATATCTCCGTTTATTCAGGTCTTTTTCTTTTCTCAGCAATATTTTGTAATTTTCTCAGCAATGTGTGTATACATATTGCACACATTTTGTAAAATTTATTCCTAAGCATTTCATACATTTTGATCTTTCAAATGGTATTATTGTAAAGTTTATTTTTCAACTGTTTGTTACTAAATCCATTGTGTTTTTAATAAAGAGAAGCAAACTCTTAGAGGTACTAATGTTATTATACCTTAGATTATAATCAGTATTTCTTCTCACCTAGATTGTAGGTGACTTCCTAAAGTCTTCTTTTCATTCTCCATGTGTAGGCACAGCTACGTGGATACAATTGGGACTCGTAAGTGTTTTGAATGAAAGTGTCACTTTCAAGATCAAGTTCATTTTGGTTTACATTTCAAAAGACCATTAAATAACACTCAGAATTTAAACCTCTGGAGATTCTTATAGCTGAGCTATATTTGAAAAGCAAGAGTTAGATGATTTGGCAATTACTTGACTGACTTGAAAAACGTGGACATGTTTCTATACTTGATTGGCGTCCAAATTATCCATTATTCATCTTAATAAGCTAAGTGTCAAATCACATCCTCACTTGTGTTACCTCAGGAGAGAAGCCTAAAAAAGGAGAATAAGGAGAGGTAATGACTGATTCTAAAGCAACAGTACTGCACGCAGATGTAGAGTGTAGGGAGCTGATGCAACTCAGAACCATTATAGCAATCACAGAGTAATGGAATCTCAGGGTTGCAAGAAGTGTTAGAGGCAGAGAATTGGAGAATTAGAGATATAGCTG